GGTGGTGGTGGTGGTGAAGAGATTCGATTCAGTACAGACTCTGGCACTTTAGTTTCGAAACTGCATATGAAAAACTCCGTGACTAGTCATTAATGGGAGTTTTTCAGGTGGCCAGTTTTGAGAATTGACTGATGCTACTCAGCTTTAAGGGACCTACCACATGTTGGGTGCAACTGTCATCACTTTGACCTACTCTCATTCTTGAATAATAACATGAGTAGGAGTAACAGTGACTAAGTTACACAGATTTGACTTCGGTCAAAACAGCTGTCGTACGTTTTGGCTTTAGGTGGGCATGCAACTCATCGAGAAACCGGAGGTTCGCATCCCAAACTGTTGATTATACCCGCGTAGACTTTCAGGGAAGGATGTCAACAGTACTCTTGTAAAAACTGCAAATAAAAAGTTTTCATTTATCTGTAGGCGGTTACGGTGGTCACTCTGAACAGTCCCCCTCCTGTCCGGGTGCAACTCTGTATATATCAAAGTTGAGGAGTACTGAACTCGAGGTTCTCTCATCCTAGACCTCATCGGTGGTATATCTTGCTCATGCCGGGATTTGAACCCCGGAGCGAGCCTCGAATCCAGTGCCTTTCCTCTTTGGAATGGACTAACCAGACCAATTGCGCCCAGATAGAAGGTGAACTCTTTGAACACTAGTGTTGTGGATTGTCACCTAAGCGGTGGTGACAATTTTTCTTCATTAGTCCCCTGTTTCATTCGTGACAAATCTTTCCGGCCGGCAACCTAGTCCAGGAACTTGGAATGATGAACAACATAGATTGGGTGCGGATCAACGGCTTTTCTGATCAGTAGCTTAGATTGCGTACATCATTATCAGCACGGCACTACAATGTTCGCCGGCTCCCTCCTTTTTGAAATACATCGGATCATAACATACACACACATGCGCTCCTTTGATTATCGCTTTGGTTCTTTGGCGGGAGTTTCTAAACCGAAAATTATCGTGCCAATCACAGCAGGAACCACCTCGGGTGTGTAAGTCATTTTTGAGTTGGCTTGCAGTCTTCCTTTTAACCATCTACCATGATCAAGGAACCCTTCCGTTCGACGTAAGTACTGTCAATTACTCTAGACGACCAAGGACGGGTGGATGACAATTAGATCTTGGGTATCTAGCTAGCATTCCGATTCATGTATTGCGCTCCCGGGGTAGGGTTGCTGCCTGCTCTTGGGTGTTATGCTTTTTCATTCGCTGGCATGTTTCACTCATAGTATTCTGTTCAAAAATTCCAATATCTCACTGTTTTTCTATCCTTTCCAGTGTATCTTCCGACTCATCCATTCGACAGTCGCTCTCCGTTTCCGGCCAATCTGGCTGTTTGGATGTGTATTCCTGTCAGGGCGGATCGTCCTTGCATTCGAATCCTCCCTATTCGCAACAGCAACCGCTCAGCAATCCGGTAGTGGATCGTAAGCCGGACACTCTCCGACGACGTTTTCCCACGGAGCCCACTGTTGGCAGCGCACCCGCGTTTGCCTCCAGTATGGTAACTGCGCAGCAACATCAGTTGTCAGCAGCCTCTGTTCCAGATGTGGATTACCCTTTGCCACCGAAAAGAGCATTTACAGGCTCTGCTACAGTCCCTATCGATGCGAATTGTGGCCTTCTTGCACCTAATAGGGATTGTTCGAGAGTGGGGTAAGATGAACTTTTTTCTCACCATCTCAATATTACATCCCTTGTGCAATGCTTCACACAACTGATTTTCCGAACGGTGTGGTTAATAGACTCTTGGCTTAGCCGCGAATTTACTGACCGAGATATCCTAGGCCTGGTATCTCGATTGGTCCTGTCAAGGCTTGGGGGCGAGATGGCCCAAGTGGTTA